TACTGGTGCCATAGGAAATGTACCGACCTAGGTCACACTTTCCATAAGACCCACCAAACAGACCAGAGCATCCTGAAGCACTGGGGAGGCGATGAACCCCTTTGGAACCTAAGCTGGTCCAACAGGTGTTGTCTGAGTTGGAACCTCATCATCAAAATGTACTTGAGGCTCTATTGCGGGTCTTGCTGCTCGAGCTCTGGGCTAAGCTCTTCCTCTGGCACGACCTCGGCCTCGACCTTTGGTGCGACCTCGGCCTCGACCTATGGCGCAACCTTGGCCATTACCTCTACCCCTAGTAGGAGCTGCCACTAGGTGCTCCGGCTGTTGTCCAGCTGAAGATACGGTGCGTGTTCTCGCCATCTGCAAGAGATCAAGAATATAAGAGTTCAATCATTAATGGTAGAATAAAATCGCATGACATAGAAGAATAGAAGTGAACTTGTTCCTAACTCCATAGCATTTGGAAGATAAGTACAGACGTCTCCGTACCGATCCTCCACACTCTACTAAGTTTGCTCGTGACTCGTGAGACCTATGAAACCTAGTGCTCTGATACCAACTTGTCACGACCCGAAATTAGCCAACGTTAGAATAAATTATACATTTTTCAATTGTTTAGATTAAATAAAGAGAAAGAACAATAATAATTGCAGAAATCCAAAATAAAATGCGGAAACTAAAACAGCCAAACATTTGCTACAATCCATGGACCCGGTGTCACAAGTGCACGAGCTACTAGAGTAGTACAAACAAGGGTCTGAAATAAACATAAAGATGTCTGAATGAAAATACACATCTAAATAAAAGGGAAGGGGACTCCAGAAGCTGCGGGTTATGAGCAGATGTACCTCAAGTCTCAGCAAAACATGATCAATCCAAGCACGTTAATAGCCACCACTAGGACCGGCTCCAAAATTTGCACAAAAAGTGCAGAGTGTAGTATGAGTATAACCGACCCCATATACTCTGTAAGTGACGAGCCTAACCTCAACGAAGTAATGACGAGGCTAAGGCAGGTCACTTATACTACAACTTGTACGCAGTATATAATAAAACAGGAGGAAGAAATACAGAACAAAATAAGGCAGTTAACTAAAGAAAATAGATAAGTCCTCAAAGGAAACCAAAACCAATTATATTACAAATCTTTAGAGTTCCGTATAAAAATACCGAGAACCAACACAGTATAGAGAAATAGAAGCACATAGGTTGTTGCGACGCATAATCCAATCCCACCGTACAACACAATCCTCTCGTATTCCACCGTAATAATATCACAATCATAATTATATAAGTATATGTTGCGGTGCGCAACCCGATCCCACCATATAACAAAATCAGTATCACAATTCACCCTTATTTTACAGTATCAATCCACCCTTATTTCACTTGTTGCGGCGTGCAACCCGATCCCACCATATCATTACAAATATTCACTGAGTGTAGTTAAATTCATAATTCAAAACACAAGAAAACTCTACGGTTGATGACTATAAAACTGAATCAGAAAGGAAACCTTATACCAACTCATAATCCACATCTGTAATACTACATGGCAAGACAAGTCCAATAATGACAATTTGAAGGTGCATGTGATTCATTTTAGGCAAATAGCAATGAGTCATGAAAGCATGAAAAAGCCTAACATGTTTAACAGGAGAAACCATGATTAACAAGTAGCAAATAAAGCATGGAAGGCATTTAGAACATTTAACAGTTAAGGCAGGGAAGGAGAAAATTAAGAAAAAGAGGAAAATCATGGAAATAAGTAATTCGGCGGCGTATAAGCACTCGTCACCTTACATATATGCTGCAACACATGAAATACACATAGCACATAGTCTACGAGTTTCCAATTCCTTAAAATCAAGGTTAAACTCAACACTTACCACGCTTCAAAGACCAACTCAAAGCTCAACCATGGCTTTGCCTTTCGAACAAGCATCTGAACTAACCAAATCTAGTAAATTACCAACCAAAAGATTCAAAATAGGCCTTATAAACTACTCATGATTTCAAAAGATTCAATTTAGGTCATTATAGAAAAAGTCAATAAAAGTCAACTCCCGAGTCCGCTTGGTCCTAAAAGTCAATAAAAGTCAATTGAGGTCTCGGGAGTTGATTTCAAAATCTGATTACCCATTCACCCTCGAGCTCGGTTATGTAATTTATTTTGAAATCCGACCTCAATTTGAGGTCTAAATCCCAATTTTACAAAAATTCCCAATTCTACCCAAACCTCTAATTTCCACCATGAAAATACTAGATTTTAGGTTGAAATCTTATGAAATATAATGAAAGATTGAAAGAAAATAGGTTAGAATCACTTACCAATGGATTGGGGAAGAAGGACTCTTGGGAAAATCGCCTCTAGAGTACTCTAGGTTTGAAATTTTGAAGAAATGAGAGAATTCCGATCTAGCTCAACTTTTACACAGCTGCAGATGTCGCAATTGCAAACATCACAATTGCGAGAAAGAGGTCGCAATTGCGAACTCCTCTCAACCTCCTAGTAATCGCATTTGCAATAAAATGGTCGCAAATGCGAACCTTGATGCCCTCGCAAATGCGGACCTCTCGTCGCAAATGCGAAGATTATAACAAAAGGTGTTGAGTCGCAAATGCGACTCTGCCTTCTCAAAAGCGGAAATGCCAAGTTTGCAATTGCGAACTTTTACCTTGCAAATGCGAGGACCCGCAGTCATGCCTAGGCTCACAAATGCGATGGTTTCTTCGCAAATGCGAGATCTGCAGCAGACACCAGAAGCAACTATGAATTCTAAGTCCAATCCATTCTGTATCTTATCCGAAACTCACCCGAGCCCTTGGCGCTCTAAACCAAATATGCACACAAGTCTAAAACATCATACGAACTTGCTCGTGCGATCAAATCGCCAAAATAATATCTAGAACTATGAATCGAACACCAAAATCAAATAAATTTTTCAAGAAAACTTTAGAATTGCTATTTTCGCAACCAGACGTCCGAATCACGTCAAACCAACTCCGTTTCTCACTAAATTTGACATATAAGTCATAAATATAGTAGTGGACCTATACTGGGTTCCAGAATCAAAATACGGACCCGATATCAATAATGTCAAACATTGGCTAAACTTTTAGATTTATTAAGCCTTCAAACTTCAATTTTTCAACAAAACATGATAACTCGAGCTAAGGACCTCCGAATTCGAGTTCGGGCATACATTCAAGTCTCAAATCACGATACGGACCCAACAGGGCCGTCAAAATACGGATCTGAGTTCATTTGCTCAAAATGTTGACCGAAGTCAACTCAATTGGATTTTTAAGGCAATATTTCATATTTTACCAATTTTTAACATAAAAGACTTTCGAAAAATACCCGGACTACACACGCAAATCGAGAAAGGCTAAAATGAGGTATTTGAGGCTTCGAAACATAGAATTAGGTTCTAAAACTCTAGATGACCTATAGGATCATCACAAAGTGTTTGGCCAAGTTTTTGGAAGAAAAAAAAAGTGCTTTTGAGGAGAAGCAGAAGCAGTTTTGGAGAACCGAAAAAAGTAGCTTCTTTTTAGAAGCACTTTTTTGAAAAGCGCTTTTGAGAAAAATATATTTAGAAGTATTTTTTTAAAAGCTTAGCCAAATACTAATTGTTACTAAAAAATACTTTTTAAATTAATTAGCCAAACACAAAAAAAAATTCACTAAAAATATTTTTTAGAAAATCACTTTTGAAAAAAATCAATTCTCAAAATAAGCTAAGTTTTGCGGCTAGACCAATAGCCCGTTTGGCCAAGCTGCAAAAATCAGCTTATTTTGAGAAGTGTTTTTTTTCAAAAGTGCCTTTCTCAAAAGTACTTTTTTGTGTTTGGCTAATTAGTTTGAAAAGCACTTCTGAGCAGCAATTAGTGTCTGACCAAGCTTTAAAAAACTGCTTCTAAGTGTATTTTTCTTAGAAGTGCTTCTCAAAAAAGTGCTTTTGGAGAGAAGCTATTTTTTTCTGCTTCTACTTCTCCTCAAAAATATTTTTTTTCCGTCCAAAAGCTTGGCCAAACACCTCAATTTTTGGCCAAAAGTGTTTTTGGCAAAAAAAAAAAAAAACACTTTTGGCTAAAAAGAAGCTTGGCCAAATAGGCTACAAACATGTTACTCCCTTCGTTTCATATTAGATGAGGTACTTTCCTTTTTAGTCTGTTCTAAAATAAATGACACATTTCTAAATTTGGAAATAATTCAACTTTAAACTCTTCGTTTTACCCATTTACCCTTAATGAGAAGTTTTTATAGCTACACAAATATTATGGCCCCACAAACCTTTTACCCCTTACGCTTTTAAGACCACAAGTTTCAAATCTCTTTTTCTTTTTTCTTAAACTCCGTGTCGAGTCAAACTACCTCGCCTAAACGGGAGTATTATAGCCTGTTTGGCCAAAAGTGCTTTTTTTTTTTTGGCCAAAAATTGAGGTGTTTGGCCAAGCTTTTGGAAGGAAAAAAAAGTACTTTTGAGGAGAAGCAGACGCAGGAAAAGTAGCTTCTCTCCAAAACTACTTTTTTGAGAAGCAGTTTTGAGAAAAATATACTTAGGAGCAGTTTTTTAAAGCTTGGCCAAACACTAATTGCTGTCCAGAAGTGCTTTTCAAACTAATTAACCAAACACAAACTGCTTCTCGCCAAAAGTACTTTTGAAAAAAGCACTTTTGAAAAAAAATACTTACCAAAGCTGATTTTCGCAGCTTGATCAAACGAGCTATTAGTTTCATATAGACTGAAAACAAACATACAAAAAAACTTCGAAAAATTTTATTTTGTGTCTCATACAAGTGACACTAGTTGTATTAGATAACTTTTATGTCTCACAATTTTGTGGACCCAGATTTCTGTGGATCCAGAAGGGTAAGATTGAGATTCACAAATTTGTGAGATAAAAAGAAGCCTCATACAACTAGTTTAAGTTGTACGATACACAAATTAAACTTTTCAAAAAAACTCCTCTATTACCCCTCGCACCCACAATACTCCACTTTTCACTCATCTGTTTCTTTGGAGTGTCAAATGGAGATGGAGAAGCTGAGGAAAATGGTGAACCAAATAGCCTATACACCAGCCCAAGACAGGCTCCGTACACTCTCTACACTTCAACTCTTTCTAATCCCTCTTCTCTCATTAGCTTCCACTCTCTATGGCTTCGCACTTCCCCTCCGTCATCGCCTTTACCAACTTGGTCTGCTTCACGCAGACAGGTAAATAAATCTCCCTTTATTATGATTTTGGTTTATACGGGACTTTGTTTCCTTAACATGTAGTGCTTTTTAACTGTAAGGTTGCCGGTGCCAGTGATTAGCGTTGGGAATTTAACTTGGGGAGGTAATGGGAAGACTCCAATGGTTGAATTTCTTGCACTTTGGTTGGCTGCTGCTGGAATTTCACCTCTTATTCTCACAAGGGTACTCGCATTTTTTTTTCCTCTCTCACTTTTTTTAGTATCTACTTTATTTCATTATGTATGATTGTATTTGATTGAACATGAAGCTTGAGCTGTTAAATTGACTTGTATATTATATTAGTGTTAGTAGAAGAAAATATCAAATTAATTCTGTAATAGCTAAGAAGTTAGGCCTCCGTATCTTTGGTCTAGTGTTAAGAGCGAAGCTCGTGACGTGTGGGTTAGGCGCACGTCACAGGAACCGTGCTGCGGACAAATGCCTCGTATTTAAGTGGAGAAGGGTAGAGTCCCATTATCCATCAAGTTTTGAACCATGTGCCACTGTCCCTCGGAGATTTCTCGGTTATAAAAAAAAAAGACAAAAAAAAAAAGCCAAGAAGTTAGTGTGATAAAAAAAACATCACATGAAGATTAAAATTTGAATTCTTAAATGAATTTAAATTCTAAAAGTTGTGAAAGTTGTATGAAGTAATCCTATTAGAGGAAAGGTATCAAATATTTTTGAATGTAATTATAATGACAAGCGTGTCATATAAATTGATACCTTATAATATTACTCCATATGTTTTGTTTTTGAAGTAATATTTTTGAAAATGAATGAATCCATCTCCCCCTTTTTTACCGCACTCAATTTGTTTGATATTCCATGGATTTATTATTAGCACAAGGGAACCTTGTAAACAGGCCACTTTTCTGGTTTATTGAAAGTGGATGATCTAGTGTTGCAACTGATATTTTATTCTCTCTCTGTGTTAATCTCGTGTTAGACTTACTGCCAAAGTTTGTCGAACATTAGTTACCTAAATCTTTCAATATAGGAAGAAATATTTTGAGCCTCTTATTTGGTTTGTTTTTGGTGTTGGTTTGTGATACGCAGTTGTTTTTGCTTTTTCTCCTTCCGGATGTACTTTGGACCATTTGCGATTACAAACACAAGGGTTGTATTTTGCGAAAATGTTTTCTTCTGCAGGGTTATGGTGGTGCAGATGAAGCAAAAATGCTCCAAAGGCATCTGTATGGGATATCTGTGAAGATTGGTGTAGGTGCAAACAGGGCCGTTACGGCTGCCAGTTTTCTGAAAAGATATGGCCACATCAGCCCTCGCAAGCATGGTAACTCAGATTTGGACAGACTTTTCTCTGATAACAAAAAGGGAAATAGTTCTTATTGTGACCAAATTGGGGTTGCAATCCTAGATGACGGAATGCAGGTCTGTGCCAAAACTGCATTTTAAGTGTTAACCACCTACTGATCGAACAGGAACTTTGTTGTTTGTATTTAGTAAAACTAATTCGTGCTATTCTTGGGTTAAATTGAGTTTAAAATGTTTCCCATCTTTTTGTGGAATATGTAATACCTCTCCAATTCCTGCTGTTGTGCTTAGTTGCAATCCAATATCTTCTCTCCC